ATTACTATTATTATTATTATCATTTTGTGTGTGTGTGTGTGTGTGTGTGTATGTGTTTTTGAGACAGGGTCTCGTTCTATAGTTCACACTGAACTCAAAATCACTGTGCCCAAGCCTGCCCTTGAACTACTGGTGATCCTCCTGCCTCTGGCTCTAGAGAGCTGGGATTACAGGTGTGTGTCACACTTTTTGATGCATCAGTGAATTACAATCCAACACTCTTCTATTTATTTTGGTGCTCAAATGAAGCCAAAGTAGAGCGGTGTGAGCCCTTCAAAGTGTAGCCTGTGTTCCCACGGATTTCCAGCACTTTCTCACTTTCTGATAGAGGGAGATGTTTGAAACACACCCTGTCTTTCCCACCCAGGCCGCAGTGTGAACCAATTCTCCATAAAGGGCTTGTTCTCTTGACTTCTCTGACCACTCATTCCAAAACCATCTGCTGCCTTCAGGAGTGATGGCAGGGAGACCGGGAGAAAACTTCCAAAAGGACATCAGCCTGAAGACACTCAGACTGCGCAGGGTGAGGTGGTGCATCCGTGGAGTCCCCGTATTGGGAAACTGAGGCAGGTGGCCCTTGAGGCTGTGCCCAGCCTGGGCAATCGAGCAAGAGCTTCAGAGCTGAGAACAGACGGATGGGCTGGAGCTGCAGTCCCTGGGAGCACTCTGGATGGCTGGGTGCAGAAGGCAGAACTCAGGGCCGGCCCAGAGGGCGAGCTGGAGGCCGGGCTTTCCACTGGTTTCCCACTACTTCCCACTGCTTGTCCACTGTTCTCGGGTCTCTAAGGAGCCCGGAGGGAGCCCAAGGCAGGCCCGCTCCAGGAATCCCAGAGCTCCCTGTAGGTGGCTTTGGCTCAGGAGCCCCCAGCAGCCTCGCTCAACTTTCCCTAAGCTCACAGAAGCCTGCAGCCTCGCACCTAACCTGCCTTCTCGCCTTCTTTTGTTTGACATCTCCCTTGCTTCGCACTCTGGGAGCTGTGCCAGTCTCTCCTGTTTCTTTGGCCATTTTCTCTCACAGGGTTTGACACAACAAACTGTGTGCACATTGGATCCTGTCTTGACACAACTTCTAGGAGGATCTGGGCACATGGAAATCAGAGGTGGAAGCAGGGATATCAGTGAAGGGGGCAGACACTGTCGCCCACGGGAGAGGTTTCAGTAGCCCAGGCAGGGTGGGAACATTTGGGGTGGAGAGAAATCGGGGTTTGGCTTTTCTTCAAAGAGGGGAGGCAATGGCCAAAACAAAACAAACAAGCTCAGAAGGCGAGAGAGGAAGGAGGACTCAAAGTAGAAGCTAAGACCTCAATAGCTCAGTGTAAAGGTCCTGAATTCAATCCTCCACACCACAAGAAGAATGAGAGCAAAAGACACAGCAAGAAATTTTACTGGACTCGCTAGCAGAATATAAGATAGGACAGGAAGCGATCCCACCAATGACTCCACTGATCTGGGCCTAAGCACGAGGCGGGGTCTCCTTTATGGGAGATGCTAATGCCTAGGAGAAGAGCCTGTGCCAGAAGAGAGACTAAAGGCCGAGGGTCAGACCTAGCAGGCTGGAGATGCTCTCAGACACACACAGGAAATGTCACAAGGACAGACAGTGGATTCCATGAGTCTGGAGTTCACCGAAGGGGTGCTGACTGCAGATGTGATGTTCAGAATGAGTTTACAACTGGTGTTTCACGTCACAGGACTGCACGGGGTCACTGGGAGAAAGTCCCTCCTAGAAAATGCTGGGCACCGAGTCCCCACGCAGTCTCCATTGGGCGGGAGAGGAGTATTTCCCTGGAGCCCAGGAAGGTCCTACAAATGCAGCATTGTCCTAAGTGCCTGATGAAATTCACCTTTCCACAGGGCGTACTGTTCTTCCCGGAGTCTGTTTCCAGGGCTGTGGAGCAGCTGCCTCACGGGCCTTTCCTCCCCTTGGCCCACACTTCTTTGCCCTGCTTTCCCTCCAGTCCTGGAGGAGTCAGGTTAGTGTCAGATGCGGCTCCTCCTACAGGTGAGTTCCCTTCTCAAAGATAAGCTTGGACACTGTTGATGTGGACACGGGGCTCATCATTTTCATCAGTATTATTGCTTTTCCTTTGTGCAGTTGAGAGAGTTCTAAAGAGCCCGAAATGGTGAAACATCCAAACATTGCATATATGCACTGGAGGAGCCTGTCACCCACCTGACAAGGTGAGTCACCGCTCCCCGGGCTGCTGGAGATGGGGCTTCAATGGCAGTAGAGGGTCAGGGATCGCGTGAGAACGGTCAGGTGCAGGGTAAGAAATCTGCATTTGAGGGCCAGATCTGTTACAGCTCAGCGGTCAGGTATGGGACAAGCTTATACCAAGCCCTGGGTCGCATCAGCAGCTGTGCCATTAAATACGAGGGGGGATCAGACGCACACTCCTGGTGTTGAACTGACGCCATTTTGTGTCATCTCCTCGGGCCCCGCACAGAGCAAGCATTCAGTAAATGGTAGCTGGTATTGGATTTTGCTCAGCCTCAAGGCAAGCCAGGCCGGTGAGAAGAGCCACTTACGCTCAGGCTCTCTGACAGACCCCAGGGTGTGAGGTCTGGGAGGTGGAGGCTTGGCAGGGAGCTGGGCTCAGGCCGCCCCTGGGGGAGTCTTCCTGGAAGTGGAATCCCCGCTCCTATCTTCCTCTCTGAACAGAGCCAGGATGCTGCCAGGGGGCGCAGGCTCCTCCAGGAGAACAAGGGAGTGTCTGCTCGTGGGGCAGCAGTCGCTAGGCTGAGGGGTCAGGGTAGGGCAGGGCCCCTGAGCCTCTTCCCCATGCAGCTACCTGCACCCTGACCCTGTGTCTCCACCCCTAGGAAGTTTGTCACTGAGCAGCAAAGGGTGATGAACGAGGTGCAGCACACTGCACTGCACCCCAGAAGTGGGGAGAGGGGACGGACACTTGGGGGATGGATGGGCCTGAGGTCAGCAGTCCCCCCCTGATGACTGGGCCCAGTGCCTTCGGCAGCTGAGGGCACTGAACGAGGCCACAGAAGAGCATGGCATGAAAATGGAGGAGCTGGAGCAGGGCTTGATGGGTGAGTGAGGACAAGTGTGACCTGGGAGTTGGATCTGATCCCTGGCTGGGGTGTGGCTTACACTGACCCAAGGAGTGAGGTGCATTCAAGGGCACTGGGCCAAACAGAAAGGGCTCTGTGCCAGGAGCCAGCAATCCTGTCATCTATCTGAGCCTCTGGGTCCCCAGAGGAGAGAAGGGTGCTGTGCCCACTGCCAACCCCACACAAGAACGGTAGGGGAAAGCGCTTTTTCAAGACCGGCCTCCACTGGGCAGGAGAAGTCATTCATGAAGAAGCCAAGGTTTGGGGCAAGGAGCCTGAACTGAGGGCTGAGCACTGAGAGGCCCAGAGCTTTACTACTACTTCCCTTCTCAGCAGTGCCCCCAGCCCTGCAGCCCCCAGCTGGGTTCTCGGAGGAAGTTCACATGAAGATAGAGCTCGAAGAATTGAGACAGCAGCTGGCCCAGATGCAGGACAGAGTCCCACGGCTGGTGCGTGGCCGATGCTCCAGGTCTCCTCCCCACCAGGTCCTTTAAGGCAGAGCAGCACAGTTCCCCTCTCCCCACAGCACAATGGCGCTCTGCAGGCCTCCACTGTGAAGGTGCCCGTGAGGCAGAATCCTGCTGGAGCCTCTGCTGGGGACAGGGGATGATTCTCCACTCTGCCCGCCCCAGGGTCAGCCAGGTTGGCGACTTGGGCCTGGCTGTCTCGGTGCCATTGATTCCCATTCTCCGCAGAGACAAGAAAACATTCAGATCACCATCGCGCTGCATCTCAGAGCGGCTGGAGAAGAAGGCGCTGGCCGGGAAGCTGGGCCCGCTGCAGGATGAGCTGTGTGAAATCACAGCACTGGTAACTCCAGGCCCCTGGGACTATGCAAGGACAGGCGTGCCACCCACGGCAGGGGAGGGGCTGGGCCAGGACTAATCTCTCACAGCTGGGGGACAGGTGACCCCAGAGTCCTGCCCTGTGCTCCTGAGCACTTCTGTGACTGCTTCCTCTGACAGGTAGTGGTGGGTGGGCCTGAACTCTGCCCGGGTCCTGATGCCACTGTCCCTGCTGGGGGCCACAGAGCCCTGAAAGTAGGAAGATTCAGGATGGGCGGGGAGGCTCCTTGGGTCTCAGAAGCTCTGTGCCTTACATCATCAACCCTGGGTGCCTGTCACTTGGAAAGGGTGCTGGCATTGTCCTCCAGACCTGGTGCACGAAACGAGACAATGCGTGTGAGGTACGGGGTGCAGGGAGAGTGCTTAGTGCCTGTGGGTCGGCTTCCTCTGATTCTCCACAGCTGTGGTCTGAAGTCCAAGTGCTGGGAAAGGAGGCTCTGGGCTTGAGGCTGTGTGCAGAAGGCCAGGTGGTCCGAGTTCCCCCGCCACCTTCCTGGGCTCCAGCTCCGGAGCAGGAGGCTGGCCAGCCCTCACCTCTGGTTCTTCTGCAGATGGTGCTGAAGAGCCAGGAGGCCTAGCACCTGCAGCAGCAGGGGCACCAGCTGCTGTCCCAGTGTGGCAGCATGCTGAGTCCCGGCAGCAGTTGGCCATGGAGAAGGAGGCCCTGTGTAGGCTCGTTCTTCTGCACAGGCACCTGGTCATGCAGCTGCAAGACACAGAACAGGAAAAAATGGTGGCCCTGGACAGGATCCCAGGAGATGCAGGTGATGGAGCTGCTGAGGCGGGCCCTGGATGGGGTTCCCCGGCTGCCTCTGACTTCGCACTTTCCATGCTGCCCACAGGAGGACCTGGAAGCCTCCAGGCTGCAGGAGGAGCAAGCGGCCCCGCTGAGAGTCCTGGCCCTGGCTGGGGCAGGTGAGCGGAGCTGCCCGGGGCAGGGTGGGCTGAGGAGCACCCTGACACTGAGTGGAGCTGGAAGAGACCTCTGCAGTGCAGCTCATTCTCCACCAGGGGGCGGTGGCCCAGGGGACATGACAGGTGGGTGCAGAGGGGCCCGGGCCGCTCTGTCTCCCTTGTGGGTCTCACTGGGGACTCTCCTGTCTGCTCCCATTTTTCAACGAAGGGGACATGGAGGAAAGGCCTGTGGAGGCTCCGGGGTCCAACACCACCATCCCCGAAGACTCAGGCAGCTCGGAGGCCTTGGTGAGCACCACTGCACTGTGTCTCTTCTCCCCGTGCTTCTCCCTGTGTCCCGCTGGGTCCCTTCGCACAGCCCAGAGCCTTGGTCTCCCACCCTCTCGTTTCCGTGGACCTCACACCTTCCCTGACAGTCTTTGCTCAGATGGGTTCCTCTGGGAAGCACAGGTGCCGGTGAGAGCGGGGAGCTCCTTTCTGCTCCTTTCCCCTTTGTGTCAGGAGGACCCCTCGGGAACCACAGCCACTTCTGCAGACCGCATTTTTAATGATGGTCCTACCCCTGCCCAGGAACACCAGGCTCCGCTGCCCAGACGCCTGAGGCAGCAGAAGGGGCAATGCCAGCGCCTGGCCCATCTGGCGGCCCTGACCCAGGACACACCTGGGCACGGGGCTCCCACCCCCAGGAGTACGCACGGGAGAGCTGCAGGTGAGCCGGTCCTGCCCGGCTGGGAAGGGTGGGCAGGGCAGGTGGGCACGGAGCCCTGTCCCTGCCGCTCTGGCTCCTTCTGCTGGGGTCTTGGAGAGAGAGGGGGAGCAGGAGCATCACTGCCCAGAGCTCCGTGAGGAACTGGGTGACACTGGTGAGCCAGCCACGGCCCAGGGAGCACAGGCTGCGAGGTGTGGGGCCGGGAACCCTGCAAGTGATGCCTGACCGCTGTCTTCCTCCCACTGCAGAGCCCGATGCCATCTGCGCCAGAGAGTGGGTGGTAGGGAAAGAAGAGGGGCATCGGGAGGAGGAGGAGGAAGAGGAGAAGGAGGAGGAAAAAGAGCAAGGGGTGGAGGAGGGAGAGAAACAAGAGCATAGTAAAGATGAGGAGGAGAAAGAGGAGGAGAAGGAAAAAGAACAAGGGCAGGAGAAGGAAGAAGATGAGGTTGAGGATGTGGAGGAGGTGGACAGAGAGCGCTGCAGGTAGGGCTGCACATCTCCCGGTGGAGTCAGGGGGCCCACCGCGCCCTCTCCCTCCGGGTAAAGCTGCTTGTGCTGCAGCAGGTGGCGCTGCTGCAGGAGGACGATGGCAGGTCCTGTCAGGGCCAGTGGGTGGCCGCCGCACAGACCCGTGGTGAGGAGCCCACGGCAGGGCCCAGGAACACCCGGGACGTTGGTGCTGCAGCCGCGGGGGGCGGTGAGTGGAGCCTGGGAGGGGGCAGGGGCAGGATGGGCAGGGGCACAGTGCTCAGCGCCCGCTGCTCTCTCCCCCAAGGTGCTCCAGAGGGGAGCTCTGCTCACCTTGAGGAGCCCCCAGGAGAAGAGCCCCGGCCGGGGTCCTTCCCACAACCCCAGCTGCCTGAGAGTGAGAACCCCATCAGGGCCCAGGCTTGGGTCTTCATCCCTTGGTGCCCTGCGTGCGGTTTTGCTACCTTGCTGAGGAAAAGGACACCGCGCAGCTCAGTTTGATTCCAAGCCTTTCTCCAGCAAAGCCTGGAGAAGCGGGGCCAGGGCTCTGCCCCCACTGTTCCCCATTCAGTCCCTGCCTCCCTGTCCCTCCTCTCCTCCCACCTCCCTGTTACCCCTATAGGAGCAAGAAACGCCACAAATTTCCTTTTCATTGAAAATGTTTTAACTGCTGGGCTGGGAATTCAGCTCAGTGGTTCTGCTGCCTGCCTCCCCAGCTTGGGGACTGAGTTCGATCTCCTGCACTGTACAGATATTCCACAGCATAAACAAAAGCGTTTAGAAAATGTTTTAATTAAAAAATTAGAAAATATTTTCTTTTTATACAACTTCTTTATGGGTCAGAAGGACAGGAAGAGGAAATATAGATGGGATCGTGGTGCGCTGGTCCCACAGGTCCTGTGGAATTTGATTTCCGTGGTTGGGAATAAATGGCTTCATTTGTCTGCCTGGCCTGGCCTGCTCCCCTCCCCAGGTCCTGGGCTGACTGAAAATGGCAAGGATGAGGGAGAGTTCCCGCCAGCAGAGGGCGCACTGCGGGCTGTGCAGAGCCCCAGTGTCTGAGCTGGTCCAGCAGGGCGGGTGGCACCTTCCTGTCCTGTCACCTGGACGCTGCAAGGGCAGGGCGAGGGCACCGCCATGGGGCTCCAAGGACATCTTGCCCTACCGGGCCACAGACAGGAGTCAGATCTGACGGTGAGCAGGGAACGGAGTGGGCAGCACCTAGTGGTGCTAATGCGTGGTGCAGGATTTCCAGTCCCCTCTCTGGTCCTGGGCCCACCCACACCCAGGGGCTGGTTCCTCGTGTCCAGCCCTGCCCGGTGCAGGCCCCAGCCCTCCTTCAGCCAGATGGAGTTTGCGGCCCTGCCCCCTAGTGCTAGGACTCACTGGTACTTTTTTTCCCCCTGGTAAGAATCCTCTAGGGGACTGTTCAGCAGCCCTGGATCTCTGAGGACTTTGGTGACTCGGCTCCATGCTATGGACGCAACTGATATTCCAGCAGATACACAGGAGTCTTGTGTGGGCAGGGGTGGAAAGGTGCCCCTCAAAGGTCTCCTGTATTTTGAAGCTGTTGGATGCGGGGACAATGGACTCAATCTCTAGTTTTCTGCTTTATCTCCAAGGCTACTGCAGATAGGATCAGGAAAGGGCTGCATGGAGCACCTGCACTGTGCCCAGTGGGATCCTGGCCAGCCCATCCCGAGGCTGCAGATTCCGGTTACTTCCTGGTTTATTTGGCAAGTGACCTCTTTTGCATGGGAATACATCCTCCAGTCTGGGCTATGGCTGGTCTGGGGCAACGTGGCTCTGTCCCCTCGTAGGTTTGTGGGCACAGTCCACATGGGGTCCTGTCGTGGGGTAAGGGCAGGAAGGAGTGTGTCCAGGGTCCTCCATGGTCTGTGCCTCTCTTTCCCTCCCAGGGTCGCTGCTGTGGAAGGGCTGTGGGAAACTCGTCCTTTTTCAGGACCCCTGTCCTGGTACAGGCTTCACAGACCGCACGGGCTCCTCCTTCCATCCAAGCCTCTCCCGTGCCCTTGCCTGAACTCCCAGCTTCCCGACTCCCAAAGAGCCCCCAGGGAACCTCTGCAGCAAACAAGGAAAGATGGAGAGCAGCCCCCAGGGGCGAGGGCAGGCAGCCCTGTGACCGTGCACATTTCCTTGGGCCCGGGCCAGGCCTTCCTTTTCCTACCCCACACTCTCCTGCCCTCAATACACAGGCTGGCGACCCTCGTCCCGGGCTCTTCCTATGGGCTCCAGAGGGCTAGGAAAATGGAGCAGAGTGGCAAGAGGGAGAGAGGTGCACACCTCGGCTGGCTGGGGAGAAGGGGTCTAGGCCCAGAACGCTGGGCTCCTGGGGGGTGGAGGGAGAGGTGTGTGGGGTTCCAGCGACCCCTGGTGGTCGTGCTGCAGTGGCAGCCACAGGAGTTCCATCCCTGGCCCAGGCCATGGCCACTTCGGTTGTGTCTCTGGGTGCTGGAGGTGCTGGTGTTGGTGGATTTGATGGAGGTGGGGGTGGTGCAGGCAGAGGTAGTGGCAGCTGTCCACCGGCCATGTGAGGGTGAAGGCCTTCCCAGCAGAAATCCACTAAAGCCCCTGCCGACCAGGACTCATAGGCCTTTGGCCTGAGGCCACTCCCTCATGTGCGAATTGCGCCCATCTCTTGGTCAGCACCTATAGATACTATCAAGTAGTTTTGTCAGGTACAACTGCAAACACGATTTTGCACACAGCACAGGTGCTCTGGGAAGGTGGATGTGGTGCTAGGTGACCTGGAAAAGGCACTGTGTAGACAGACACAGCTCAGACTCCTACACAGAAAGCCCCACCTCTCCCCCTGCAGTGCCAAGCCCACCTCCTGGCCCGGCTCCCCCGAGAGTGGAAGCTGGCCGCTCTGCCCCCCAGGGCTGGCCCTCCAGCTGCCCCAGGGCACAGGGGATGGACGGAGCTGTGCAGTGAGGAGGGGCCAGGCTCTGGGCTGCAGAGAGGGGAGGACACCCGTGTGTCAGCCACACAGTGCACAAGAGGGTCGTGTGGCGGCTTCCTCCTGTGGCCTCCACTCTGCTTGATGTCTGTGAAACCTCCCTCCCCAGGGCCCCCTCCTCCTGTCCGAGTGCTGAAGAGGCCCTAGGCATGCGTGGGTTTCCCCAGTGAATTCCAGTGCTATCCAGGGATGTTCGCCATGGGGAGTACAGCCACTGACACATGGGCAACGTTCTAACTTCCTAGTTGTCATGGAAATGGAAGTTAAAATGACACAGTCTTGTCTGCGATGTGCATGAAGAACTGGGAAAAGATCCATACATGTACCTCAGTGACACACATTTGTGAATAAATCCTAAGAAGACGAGGGCTAGGCCGATTCAAAAGTTACTGAGAGCATTTTAAAAGACCTTTTTAATTGTGATAAATACCACAGAAAGCACAATTAGAATCTGGGTACAGCTGAATGAATCATCCTACAGCAACCCCAGGGTGGCACCCGGTAGACCCCACCTGGTCCTGGTCACGGTGCCCCCTGAAACCACAGCTTCCCCCTCCCTCGGTGGGGAGACGACGGCATCTTTGTCTCCCCAGACTGCAGGGCTCGCGCCCAGCGTGCACAGGTCAGGACAGCCCTCCCACCTCCTAGGGGTCCTCAGGTCCGCACCCAAGGCCTGTGTTCTGGCCTTGGCCTCTTGGCTCCGCAGCGCAGGAGCCGTGCAGAGGGCAGGCAGGACGGCAGGGTCCCTGGCCTCCCCAGACACTGTGCATGGCGCTAGCACAGCACCCGGGCGGCAGTGTCCGGGACCGCGTTCCTTCTCCCAGCCTCTGTGCACAGCACGCGGCTCCGTGGCCGGAGCAGTTCCCAGCCCCACAATGCTGGTCCTTCGTGCTCTCAGCTGGCCTCCTTCGCAGCCAGGAGCCTGATTCTCCGATTCTGCGTCCCCACCCAGGCCACGCCAACTCAGCGTCTGCCCCTTCTCCCTGTGCACACAGCTCACTGGCTCTGCCAGGTCCCCAGGACCTCCCTGCAGGAAAGAGAGAGCAGCAGGCCTGGCCACCTGCTGTCCCCTCGGTGTGTGTGCCCTAAGGAGGACCTCCGAATTGAATTGGGCTTCCAGAGGAGAAGAAATACTCCGGTCCTTACGCATATTTTCAAAGAAGTCTGGACAGGAGGATGAGATCCCGGAAGGGGAGCCCAGGCCGGGGGCTGAGGGGTGGGGGATGGGGAAGCGGCCTGGCTTGGTCGGGGCAGAGTTGGGCAGGGTGGGGCCTGGAGAAACATCCCGGTCCCTTCCTGCCCTTTCCATTCCTTCCTGTACTTTGTTCTTTAAAAAGTCCCCCTTGCGTCCCCAGCATACAGGTTCAGTGTCTTGTAGCATTTGGCCAGGCGGGTGTTTCGCGGTGGTCACTTTGGTGTGCTAGATCACAAGGATTCCCGTGGGTTTAGGCAGAGGTTTCGGTGGGGAGGCTTAGCAGGAGAAGGCTGCCCAGTCCTGTCACAGTGTCGGCGTCAGGCAGGGCCAGGCCCGGACAATTCACTGGACTCGTGGTGAGGACCTGCATCCTGACACAGGGCCTTGTCCCAGGTCCATCTCCCAGCCTGAGGGACAGGCTGGACAGTGAGGGACGAGCAGGCTGCGTGGTCGGGGACAGCCAGCTGCCTTCGTGAGTCCATGGCCCCAACAGAACTGAGCACAGATGTGAAGTCGGGTGTGGGTGCGGACTCTCTCGGGAGGACAGGGATGCTCAGGCCCATTGGGCAGGGTCTGGGGGACACAGACTGGGCACCCGGACCGCTGGCATCCAGTTCTGGTCCTGGCCCTTAGGACACCTCGGGTGGAGCACTGTCACTGCATTCTGTGGGAGTCCGTGGGCTCAGGTGGGGAGCAGCCCTGGGCAGGTGGTCTGAGTCCCACCCCAGCCCTGGGCCTGGGCCCTGTTTCCGTCTTGGCTGTTGAGATGGGGGTCAGAGCAGGTGCTGAGGAGGCCAGGTCAGGCTGGGGAAGGGGCCTCCTCTGTGAAGCTCGGGCCCCACACGACTTAGGATTTGTGCCGGGTGCAGGAGGCTGAGGAGGGAAATCCAAGTGGAGAGGAGCCTCAGGCTGGGACAGGGCTGTGGACACGAATTAACTTCTTCTCAGGACAGGAGTTAGCTCAGAGCCCGTAGCTCATCTGTCCTGTGGCTGGCATTTGCTGCCCGTCTGAGGTTCGTGGTTCTCCCACATCAGCCTGGCCTCTGGTGGATGTTAGTCACAGCCCCTAGCACTCGAGCCAAAGGCTCTCAAAGCTGAGTCACCCCACAGCCTGCATACGTGTGTTTGGCCACATCCCCGAAGGACCAGTGGCATCCCTGGCCTCAGACTCATTTCCTGCCGAGACCACAGACGGCCACATCCTGTATTTCTCTCCAGGTCGCAGATGAGGCAACAGCAGGCCTCTTGGCAAGCTGTGCAAGGTTCCAAAGCTCACAGGCAGCAGGGCTGGGGCCTGGGGCCCAGATCTCTGGCCCCAGAATCCGTGGGACACTGGATTCAACCGTAGGCTCTCCCGTGCCTGACCCCGGCTCACTGAGTACTCACTATCGTGCTTGGTGCTGCTGGCACAAGTGAGCGGGTACAGAATCCCAGGCCCTCATGGTGTTCCCAGCTGACACGTTTATCTATGTGTTCGGTGGGCACTGGGAATGAGCAGCTGGTGGGGCGGCTATGCAAGGTCAGGCAGGATGAAGTAGGAGGAAGCTGCTATTTTAGGTGGCTGCTCAGGGAAGGTCTCTG